CTCAGAGTAGACTGTTAGGGTAGGTTTAGGGTTAGTAGAATAAGTTGACAAAGAAAGTGTTAGAAGATATTAAGCAGACAGTCTACTAACACTCTACTAACTGCTAGTTGACATGTAGTTGCAAAGTTACTTACTGTTAATAGAATGTCTAAAGTGGACTATCGAAATAAAGTGTTACCAACAAATATGATAGGTAACAGGAAAACAATGACAAACAGTTCAGGTTCAGGTTCAGGTTCACTTTATTTGTACCCATAGGTAGACTAGGTTTGCAGTGTTATGAGTTCTCACAGCTTTCACATTTTACAGACACCACAAACATTAACCAACATATATGATAAAAGTGCTTTAAGGTTCCCAGCATCACTAAAAAACCGCCTAAACTAAAAACAACAAATTACCAAAAAAACTAATAAATAAATAAATAACAATGTTCCTAAGACCTATCCTTATTCAACTGAGTGATAGCTGCTGGCACAAAGCTGTTTTTATACCGCTTAGTTCTACAATACGGAAATACAAATCTACGTCTAGATGGCAGAAGTTTAAATTCATTCTTCAAAGGATGAGAGTCATCATTTAAAATTGAGTTAGTCATCCGCTGTAACTGTCTGGTATACAGGGATGCTGGACTAAGCTGTGACTCCCCAATCAGCTTACTAGACCATCTAACAATTTGACTCAGTGAATTCTTGTTCTTTACAGACAAGTTTCCAAACCAAGACACCAGAGAAAATGTTAAGAGTGATTCAATAAAAGCACGATAAAATAACATCATCATGGTCCTGTCAATGTGAAAATGGGCCAGTTTCCTTAAACAAAACAGACACCAGTGCCCCTTTTTACACACTGCTTCACAATTTGCTTCAAAGTTCAACTTAGAGTCAATAATAGTCCCAAGGTATTTGTAAGATTGCACAGATTCTATTTTCTGACTTTTAATAGATGTAACTTCATGTGGGTGGGCTTGTTTCCTAAAATCAATAATCATATCTTTTGTCTTAGATAAGTTTAATTGGAGGTAGGACTCCTCACACCACTTTATAAAGTCATCAATAATCGGGCCATGGCTGGTCTCATTGCCCTGAAGCTCACTAACAATAACAGTGTCATCTGCATACTTTAAAATAGTCCTGTTTTCCCACTTACTCTGACACATATTTGTGTAGAGAATAAATAATAGAGGTGAAAGCACACATCCTTGTGGGGAGCCCGTAGAGGAACAAACTTCGTCAGACAGGGTTCCATTCACCCTTACTCTCTGTGTCCTATTAGTTAAAAAATCAAGAATCCAGCCCACAATATTGTTACTCAATGTAAACTGTTCTAAAAGCCTATTAATTAGAACATGGGGTTGGATTGTGTTAAAAGCAGATGAAAAATCAACAAATAAAAGTCTAGCATGAGACCCATTACCCTCCAAGTGTTTAGCAAGTAAGTTCAACAACGTAACTGTAGCGTCCTCTACTCCTCTATGTGGCCTATAAGCAAATTGCATAGGGTCAAGTGTATATTCAGTTTTCTTTAGAATTTCTTCCCTTACCAGTTTTTCAAGGGTTTTAATTAAAATTGATGTAAGAGCAACTGGTCTAAAATCATTAAGGGTATTGGGACTACTGGACTTGGGAACCGGGACTACCACAGCATCTTTCCACACCTTAGGTACATGCTGTACCTGCAAAGACTTATTAAAAATATAGGTAAAAACAGGACTCAACTCTTTTACACAGGCTTTAAGCAAACGTCCACAGATATTATCAGGCCCACAGCTTTTGTTTACCCGTATTGAAAGGAAAGCCTTTTCAACATCATTTTGATCTATATCAAAGTGCTGATTATCCTTAAGTTTATCACTCAGTTCCTGAGTTACATTACTAAAATCAGAAATATCAAAACGATTATAAAAACAATTAAGTGCATTGGCAAAATCAGCATCTGAATTAAACCCTTCCAGTGTAACCTGGCTGCTATTCTGTATATTCTGAAGGCCTGTTATAGTTTTCAAACTAGCCCAGGCTGAGCCAAGGTTATTTGCGGCCATTTTATTCTCCAATTCAGATTTGTAAGTCTGTTTTGCTTTTTGAATTTCTATTTTTAGTTCCTTAGTGGCTATATGCAGATCAGAGGGTACTCCCTGTTTAAAAGCCAGTTTCTTTTTCTGTATGCTGGACTTAACAGATTTGGTCACCCATGGTTTGTTATTAGGGTAAACCTTAACACGCTTACAGGGAATAATCATATCTCTACAGAAAGCAACATATGAGCATGTTACATCAGCAAGATGATCCAAATCATCACCACAGGATTGTATAAACATTTTCCAGTCTGTACAGTCATAGCATTCCTGCAGGCAGAACACTGATTCTGCATCCCAGACTTTAATGTCCTTTATCTGCACCTTCTCTCTTCCTCCTGTCTACCAAATATTCCATTTTAAAGGTTTAACAAAGCCTCCTAAGTACCCCCTAACGTACATACACATACAGACCAAGGTGGGAATCACTGGTGAAGCGCAGTGTTTTGCAGTGAGCATTTAAATCTTACCTGATGGGCCAGGATGTAGATGTTATGGCCAACATCTTTAGGTCTGGTCTGATCTAATGTCTCTTGATCAATCTCACTCTCTTCTCCTTGAACGTAAGCCTCCTTGATCACGTCAATCTATAGATGTGACACCAGATCATCACTTTAATTATGGCAAAGAACAGGCATGTTTTGGCTGATAAGAGATGATGTAAACTATATTCATTAACTATATACACAAAACAGCAGTACTATTGCATAATATTAGCTCACCAGTTCATTGGGTCTCATCTTGTACAGGATCTTCTCTGCATTCTCACTATCATGACGACTTTCCATGATGGCCAGAAGTAGTTCAGATGCATTGTTCTGATTTTTCATGGTAAAGACAAGAGCATTTTTAAAATTAAATTACTGTGAAGTAAAGAATATTCGCATATTTTCCTCCTGGAGATAAATGTGCATATGCTTTTACATGCCAAATCAAAAATTTGCAATGCTTCAGAACATTCTGTTATCTGTAAAATTGCATTATACATCAATTGCTTTCTTATTCAAACTACGTGAGTAAATGCAACAAACAAGTACCTTCAGCTCCAGCACAAGGTCAAGTCGGTTCTTCCCCAGCGGATCAATTGGATTCACAATGAGAGCGATGATGATGTCAATGCCGTTTGACTCATGCCTGGCTATGCATGACTGCGTAGGAGGAAATACACAATCTATGATCCCAAACAAAGTCTTAGATATATAGAAAAGACTTCTTTTTGCATAACCATTAATAAAGCTAGAAATATGTTCAGTTATGATACCAAATACACAATTTTTCCATGTGGAAACAGATTTGTTCCCTTTTTCCAATGAGCATGATGTTTCAATACCTGGTTTCCATGGCCTGGTTATAAATTATTATTATATATTATTATAGTATTTTTTAATATTTTGAACAGCTTTTATTTTTATATTTTCAGTTTTCATTTTAAGTTTTAGCAATTATTTATCTGCTTTTGTCATTTTTATCTTTTTTTAATATTTATATTTGTTTTAGTTTTAGTAATTTTAGTACTTCAATTTAAACTTATTTTATTCCAGTTAGTTGCCAGAGCAACTTTTCTCATTTTTATTTTAATTTATTTGTACGTTTTTCATGAAATATTTATATTTTATTTAACTTTTATTTCTACAATTTTCAATAGTCTCAGACAAAATAACAGCACTGTATGGCATTAAACTAAGAGATTAAAATGACTTATTATTACATAATCATTAATAATAAGTATGAACTAATGATGAGTTAAAACATATACTAATCAAAAACTAACATTAACTATGACATAATATGAATTTATGTGAGAATAATGACCACCTTGACTACATGTTTGTAAGTTATTGTATTAATTAACACTTTGGGGAAAGTTTTCACACATTAATTCATATGACTCATGTCACAGTTAAGGTTCTTGATTAGTACATGCCTTAATTCATCATTACCTCATACTTAAATCAGGTATTAGTACATATTATTCATGTACTGTTACTGTAAAGTGTTACCCTTGGATTCGGTTTTCCATGTGGAATAAGATTTGTCCCCATTTTCCAAAAAGGATGCCGTTTCAATACCTGGTTTTCGTGGCAAGGACCCTGGCAGTACTCTGTGATGGTCTCTAGTGTCTGTTTGACCAGGTCCACATTCCTCTCATTAATGTAGAGCCCCAGCAGCCCCAGTCCTCCTGTCGTACTGCCACAGATACAGTCAAGAAACTGCAGCGTCTCACACACCAGGTTATAATTGGTTTTGTTGTTCTGATCTCGCAGAAAGTTCTGTATACAAAAGAACAAAAAGATTTGGACTAACAACACAAGTCAAGTCCTGAGTGGCAGTAAATGGTATCTCTATTCAGACAGACTCGTCCATACTAGGTCGCTTGAGATTTTGATCTGCACAGCAAAAAAGTTTTACTTTTCAAACATCAAGGTGCTTTTTCTTCTCACAATGGAAACACACTTATTTAAAGCTCTCTGATTTGCTGACACGGTGAAGGCAGCTTCACTGGATTTGACTTCTAAGCACACCATGTACCAATTCACATTGCGGTGTTTAACACAAGCAATACACTAAAACGATTAATAGCCAAAACAAACTACAGCTGAACAAAACCAGACCAATAAAAATTATTTGCATCACCTGCAAGTCCCTGTTATGATTCTCACAGAGCAGTTGAAGGAAACGTAAGATGGGTTTCATGATGGTGATGGCCTGGCTCATCTGGGTCTCCTCCACCACCTCCTCCATCCCATCCACTCCCGATCCCATCGGCTCCATCTCGGGGTCCATGTCCCGGCGAAAGGTGCTGTAGGCTTTGGAGGTGACCGAGGAGGCGTCTTTAAGCTGACCCCGAATGTCTTCTCTGAGGTGCAAGGAGTCTCGAACTTCATAAGACACGAGAGATTTGAGATTACTAAACTGTTATTTATAGTTCTTACTGGATCAGTGTTATTTTATTATTTACATATTTTTATAGTATTTATAAAAAAAATTTAATTAGCTTTTATATTATCAGTTTTCATTTTAACTGTAGTATTTTTATGTGCTTTTTATATTTATTATCTTTCTATTTAGCTTTAATGCATTTTTTCAGTTTTAGTTTTAGTAATTTTAGTACTTCAGTATGAGATGTAAACGAATATTTATGAACATTTGCAGTACATTATTTAAAATTCAACTGAAATTCTTGTTGAAGTTGTTATTCATACTAGTTACTGTTTGCACTGCTGACAAAATACATTTAGGTACAGTAATATCACACAATTAAGAGCTGTGATTCGGTCATAAGCATAATATTGATATTGTTTTCATACAATAACATGAGGTTAATATTTAAACTTTAGACAATATTGAAATTATGTCAACAGTTTCAAACAAAGCCACAGGAGAATTATTGGTTGCAGGTCTCCAATCAACACACATTAATACCGTTTCTGAATGAATCAGTGTAATTGATCGAGTTGGTTTGTTAAATGATTTTTCCCAAAGAAAAACTGCAGTGCTTTACAAATATAGGACAGGATGAGCTAAATAAACTTATCACTGCATCTAAATCAACAACATGCCTATTAGATCCTGTACCCACTAAATTACTATCTGCTCATTGTGCTCCTTCTTGCAAAAAAATTATCTCTATGAAGAATTTCATTTAAATTTAATTTAAATTACAAATGACTTTCTTCTTGCGTCAGACCAAGACTTTATTTCATTGCTAGTTTTACTTGATCTTAGTGCTGCATTCGACACTATAGATCATGACATACTCATAGATCGATTACAAAACTATACAGGTATTCAATGGCAGGCTTTAAGATGGTTTAGATCCTACCTGTCCGATCGCAACCACTTTGTTTACTTAAATGGGGAGTCATCTCAATTATCACCAGCAAAATATGGAGTGCCACAAGGATCTGTCCTAGGTCCTCTGCTATTTTCAATATACATGTTGCCCCATGGTAATATTATTAGAAAATACGGGATTAGCTTCCACTGTTATGCAGATGATACTCAACTATATATCTCAACAAGACCAGATGAAACTTCTAAATAATATAAGCTAACAGAATGTGTTAAAAATTTAAAAGATTGGATGACCAAAAATTTTCTCCTATTAAACTCGGATAAGACAGAGATATTACTTATTGGACCAAAAAACAGTACACAGAATCTCTGGGATTACAATTTGCAACTAGACGGATGTACAGTTACTTCCTCTACAGTCAAAAATCTGGGTGTTATATTAGATAGCAACTTGTCTTTTGAAAATCATATTTCCCATGTTACAAAAACAGCATTCTTCCATCTTAGAAACATTGCCAAACTACGAAATATGTTACCTGTTTCTGATGCAGAAAAGCTAGTTCATGCATTCATGACCTCTAGACTGGACTATTGTAATGCACTGCTAGGTGGTTGTCCTGCATCCTCAATAAACAAGCTACAGGTAGTCCAAAATGCAGCGGCTAGAGTCCTTACCAGGTCAAGAAAATATGATCATATTACCCCAATTTTACAGTCTCTGCACTGGCTACCTATTAAGTTCCGTATCAGTTACAAAATAGTATTACTTGCCTATAAGGCCCTTAATGGGTTAGCTCCTGCGTACCTAACTAGTCTTCTACCACGCTACAATCCATCACGCTCCCTAAGGTCGCAAAACTCTGGACTTTTGGTAGTACCTAGGATAGCAAAGTCCACTAAAGGAGGTAGAGCTTTTTCGCATTTGGCTCCCAAACTCTGGAATAGCCTTCCTGATAATGTTCGGGGTTCAGACACACTCTCTCTGTTTAAATCTAGATTAAAGACACATCTCTTTGGCCAAGCATTCAAATAATGCATATCATAATCTTGTACTGCAGTTATATCTGATCAAATGCACATTATTATTCTTTAGCTTGGGTTAAACAAATCAATTTTGCTTGGTTGGAACAGCAGCTACGCTAATTATGTCCCTATTTGTTTCTCTGTTTTTGCCACAGGATTGACATCCCGTGGTAACTAGGATTTACACAAGCTTCAGTCTGGATCCAGAACACCTGAGAAGAGATGATGCCAACCCCTCAGAGGACCTCAGATGATGCCAACCCTGAAACAACCCACCAGATCCAGTCTGTATCCAGATCAGATGGTCACTGCAGTCACCCGGATCCAGTACGTATTCAGACCAGATGGTGGATCAGCACCTAGAGAGGACCTCTACAGCCCTGAAAGACAGCGGAGACCAGGACAACTAGATGAGCCCCAGATACAGATGTTATTCCCCTGTAAAGACCTTGTCTCAGACGACCACCGGGACAAGACCACAGGAACCAGATGAGTCTTCTGCACAATGTGACTTTGCTGCAGCCTGAAATTGAACTGCTGGTTTGGTCTGGCCAGAGGAGAACTGGCCCCCCGACTGAGCCTGGTTTCTCCCAAGGTTTTTTCTCCATTCTGTCACCGATGGAGTTTTGGTTCCTTGCCGCTGTCGCCTCTGGCTTGCTTAGTTGGGGACACTTCATTTCCAGCGATATTGTTGACTTGATTGCAAATGATTGCAAAGATACTATTTAAACTGAACTGAGCTGAATGAAGACATCACTGAATTCAATGATGAACTGTCTTTAACTGGAAAATTAGTGTTTACTATTGTCATTTTGCATTATTGACACACTATTTTCCTAATTAATGCTGTTCAGTTGCTTTGACACAATCTGTATTGTTAAAAGCGCTATATAAATAAAGGTGACTTGACTTGACTTGACCATG